CCCCCCCCGCCCCGAGCTGTTCTGGATCCTCTTTCCACTGACGCCTGCAGACACAATGACCTTCTCCAGGTGGGTCCTGCCTGGCCAATGTTCCTCATTTTCAGCCCCTGGTCGAGCTCTTCTCTCCCTGAAACCACGCCACAAGATGTCCCTTCTCCTTTTCTGGAGGGCTCTCGTGGGTTCTCCTTTCTCGCCTGCACCAAAGTGGGCCTGCCCACCTGAGGGCAAAGAGAGCAGGGCAGAGTCCATGGGGGGAGGCAGAGAAGAGCCAGGTTGCGGGGGGCTCCTTCAACAGTTGCCTGGACCTGAGAGGGAGTTTGGCAAACCCACCTGGGCCCTCAGAACCCAAGAGGCCTGCCTTGGAGACCCCAGCCCTCTGGGGAGGGGGCTCCAGGCCCCAACAAGTCCTCTCTGCTCTACTGCCCTGTGAAGCTGAGTTGGGGTCATTGTTGGCCCAGTCAGCTGCCACCAGGCTTGGGACACAGAGCTGAGGACGGCTGCTTTCCTCCAGGGTTGGTGGGCAGGAGGGGTCAATGGGCAGAGTGAGTGAGTTAAGAGGTTTGAGTATCCATCCCCCCAACCCCTGTTTCCAGGTAAAATACAGAACACCTAGTTAAATTTGAATTTCAAATAAACAACCAGTACTTTTTTTGAGTATAAGTATGTCCTAAATATTGCATGAGACGTACTCATATTAAAGTATCATTTATCTGAAATTCAACTGTAATTGGATATCCTGCTTTTTGGTTTGTTTGTTATTTTCTGCTAAATGTGGCAACTCTACCCCCAGCGTCCCTCCCCCAGGCGCTGAGATTCTGATCTTCCTGATTATCCATCTCCTATCCCAGACTGGGTCGCCTAGCTCATCAGTCAGGTCCTGAGGCCCAAGGGGGTGGCTCAGAGTCCACAGGCCCACCTGGCTGAGGGCTCCGCCCCTGTTCCTTCTGCCCTGAGAGCACTTTACCTCTTTACTAGGTCCTGGGTGGCAGCAGGGGCAGTGGGGGGACCGCCTCAGGAGGGAGCCCGCAGGGTGCCATTCCTGGGGTCAAGGGATGGGCAGAGCTGCCCAAGGGGATTGGTGGTCCTGGTGCACCTGAGAAGTCTGCCCCGGCCCCAAGGTTAGTGGGGGCGTGTGGGCGTTTACTCTCCTAGGGACCTCTTTCATAGACTCATATCCTGGGGTGGGTGGGGGGGGTGCGTGCAGACCCAGAGGCTCCAGGCTCATTTTGCAAGCCCTCAGGAGCGACCCCAACAGCAGAGCAGAGGCCTCGTTCTGTGCTCAGCCCGAATCCAGACAGACGTAGCGGCCGCGGTGGGGCGGCTCGCACGATTGTCTGCACGGTATGGTGGACACGCCACATTTTGTGCTGATTCCCTGGGGTGAGATGGGGCATGGAGAAGCAACGTCCTCCTGGGGGTAGAGGCTCCCATCTTGCTTGGAAATAGAGGCTTCCCTTTGGCCGGGCCCACCTGCCCTTGGCTCCCCCGGCAGAGCAGGAAGCTTGGAGGAGGGGGAACAGCCAGAGACCGGATTCTGGGGGGCAGAGGTCAATGGGCTGGGGCTGCTGGTCCCCCGGAGCCCTTACCCTGTGTCTGGCCTGGCCCCTGACCCCACCAGCCCTGCCCCCAGCCCACAGGAGCCCAAGTGCCCCAGAACCACTAGCTCTGTTGAGACAGGAAAGCACATGACAGGAAAGGAGTCCTCCTCCTGCTCTCCCCTCTCCAGAAGAGCCCCCAGACTGGACCAGCTGCAGCAGCAGTGACCTCTTGTGCCCCACCCCCGGCCCCAGTCTGCTC